CCCTCCCCTCCCCCTTCTTGTCTCTATTTTCCACTTCCATCTTTTTTCTTCCTTTTTAAAAAAAAAATTCTTTTTGATTTTCTCTCTTTTCTTTCTTGTCTTTCCTCATGAATGAAGATTTCCAGCAGGAACAGTAACTGATATACAGCAACAAACATTCTTCCTGAATTACCGCATTGTAAATTTCCTGTGTTTGGGCCCAATTCTGCACTCTTTACCCCACAAATTGTCCCGGGGATGTCAACAGGACATGAACGGGGAAAATGGATGGATCAGGCAGGATCAGGCCCTCGAACAATAGGAGCATTGTTGCTGAGATATGAAGCAGCCTGCTGAAGAGGTAAACAGTTAAGAGATGACAACAAGTGGTCAAGTTTCTCAAGGGCAGAGATTCAGAGGAGCAGGAAGGTTAGTGCGGGCTCCGGTGCGAGTGGAAGTTAGAGGACGTGATTGCAGTTCATGGGAACCAAGAGTGCAGGATGGGATACATTCAATTCAGTTTCCTTTGGAGGCTTAAAATAGAGCCATTGTAAATTATGTCAGTCTGTCTCAAATCATGAAAATGATTGTTAAAAAGGCCTCAGAATACACAATGTGTATTGTTGTGTGGCTTTGATGTGTGAAAGACGAGAGCTTATGATATAACACAAATTAAATAAAAATAAAGTGGCCACATGCTTTTTCCTGTCCGGAAAAAAAAAAAAAAAAGGATTTATTACAGAGGGATAAATGCTTACTGATAATGCTGTTGCCTTGTTTTTAAACAAGGCTGGAGCTGATACTGTTGGAAGAAAGGCAGTGCAGAGATACAGACAAGTTTTAGCATGATAAAGAGCACAAGACAGAGTGCAGCCTTGGGACTTGCCCGATGCCCCTGCTTGTCCAAAGGGTGCCAAAAGGGGACATAAAAAGGGGCTGGGGAGCTGAGCATTATCCTTTTCCAAACCACATTTTCACTTACAGACCTATAACTTGGTTGCTGCCCCAATTTGCTCCCTAAAGTTTGTAGCAGCCAGAAAATCAGGGACCCACAAAATTTGCTTCAATGATGTCATTCAGTCTTCGTAGTGTCTTGCTCTGCACCGCCAGTACCACTTTCAGCCTCCTGCTGCTGAAAATAGTTGCTGGAAGCTGTGCTCTGATGTGTCAGGTGTTGCAGGCTAGATCAGGCCGTGAGCTCAAGGTAGATCTCCTCCCCTCTGTGGTTTCAGGCTTTTTCCAAGTGCTGCTTTTGTGAGGCTGAAGATATTCTCATCCTGGAGGAGTTTGAAAGGAAATCCATCGAGCTGTTTTGAGCATCAGACATGCAAATAAATACCGCTGCGTTCTTTAAAGAAATTGTTGTTGAAATTTAGTGTATTTTTTTCATGTGCAAGAGACAAATAAGCAATGTTAAAACTAGTTATTAAGATGTGGAATTTAGAGTTACAGTGTCCCTGGCACCTGTAGGGACTGTATGCATTACACGAATAGAAATGCTTTGGACGTATGAGATAACTAGACTGAGGTTACCCAGCCTCTAGCATGGACTTTCATGAGATGAAATCCTTAATTGTAAGTGGAAAAAAATGTTGTTTGTTAAGAAGGTTACGCACTTGGAAATACCTGGTTGTCTCCTCCTTCACCTCTTTCACATCCTTGTGGTCTTGCAGACTGAAAGCCCCGTGAGGCAGTTCTGTCTATCTCCTGTCTGGTCCTGCAAATATTTATTTTAATGACTAACTTTTCACATGTGAATAGTGACATGAATGGATGTCATTTGAAGACACGAGTGTTTGCTCACACAGGAGCACCGTGGATTCATGTGGTGTTACAGCACCGAGCCGCGGCTCTTGATGGGGCTCTGGGTGCTAACGCGGTACAGAGTAATGGTACTGAATATGCCACACTGTGCAATACAAAGAGCAACAAGGAAACTTTGTCTTTTAGTGATTTCAGACCTTTTCTGGTTTATTGGAGCAGGTTTCGGTGCTGTCTTTAGACATTTGTCTGCTTGGATGCCTTGCTTTGGAAGAATACAGTAGCTTTTCGTACATTTGTGCACCCAGACTTCTCCTTACGGCTTCCTAATTGACATTTGGCGGGTGAAAAAGTGGTGTTATTTGCAAAATTTTGGGGGTGGGGGCAATTATCATAAAGCCTGAGATGTGTTGTTGTTGTTGTTTACATACAGGTGAGGTCTGCCATAAATCCTATACTCAGTTTTCAAACCTTTGTCGTCATAAGCGCATGCATGCTGATTGCAGAACCCAAATCAAGTGCAAAGACTGTGGACAAATGTTCAGCACTACGTCTTCCTTAAATAAACACAGGAGATTTTGTGAGGGCAAGAACCATTTTGCAGCAGGAGGATTTTTTGGCCAAGGCATTTCACTTCCTGGAACCCCAGCTATGGATAAAACGTCCATGGTTAATATGAATCATGCAAATCCGGGCCTTGCTGACTATTTTGGAGCCAATAGGCATCCTGCTGGTCTTACCTTTCCAACAGCTCCTGGATTTTCTTTTAGCTTCCCTGGTCTGTTTCCTTCAGGCTTGTACCACAGGCCACCTTTGCTACCTACTAGTTCTCCTGTTAAAGGACTACCGAGCGCAGATCAGACAAACAAAAGTCAAAGTCCCCTCATGACAAATCCTCAGATACTGCCAGCCACCCAGGATATTTTGAAGGCACTAAATAAACAACCATCAGTAGGGGAGACTAAGCCAGTGGAGCTTCAACCAGAGAGGTCCTCTGAAGAGAGGCCGCATGAGAAACTCAGTGACCAGTCAGAGAGTAGTGACCTTGACCTTGACGATGTCAGTACCCCCAGTGGCAGTGACCTGGAAACCACCTCGGGCTCTGATCTGGAAAGTGACATTGAAAGTGAGAAAGAGAAATTTAAAGAAAATGGTAAAATGTTCAAAGACAAAGTAAGCTCTCTGCAGAGCCTGGCTTCAATAAATAATAAGAAAGACCACAGCAATCATTCCATTTTCTCACCATCCTTAGAGGAGCAGACTGCGGTGTCAGGAGCGGTGAATGATTCTATAAAGGCTATTGCTTCTATTGCTGAAAAGTACTTTGGTTCAACAGGACTTGTGGGGCTGCAAGACAAAAAAGTCGGAGCCTTACCTTACCCTTCCATGTTTCCCCTCCCGTTTTTTCCAGCATTCTCTCAATCAATGTATCCATTTCCTGATAGAGACTTGAGACCGTTACCCTTGAAAGTGGAGCCCCAATCACCCAGTGAAATAAAGAAGATCCCAAAGGGAAGCTCTGAGTCTCCCTTTGACCTCACCATAAAGCGTAAGGAGGAGAAGCCACTTACTCCCATACCCTCAAAGCCAGCAGCCCCCTCTGCAGCAAGCCAGGACCAGCCTCTAGATCTCAGCATGGGCAGCAGAAGTCGAGCCAGTGGCACAAAACAAGCCGAGCCTCGGAAAAACCACGTCTTTGGAGAGAAGAAAGCAGGTGACCTTGAGCAAAGGAAAGCTTCGGAGTCCTCCTTGCAGCACGCCAGGCCCACCCCCTTCTTTATGGATCCCATTTACAGGTAATGGACTATCTGCTGCCTTTCGGCATCCTTTGATACAGGCAGCTAGGTCTGCCAGGGCCACCTGCCCACAGATGTAGGACAACCCCATTCTCATCCCTGGGATATATAAATACTGTCCCTGGAAGTGTCATCCTGCCACCGGGGCATGGGGTGGCCCAGGCTGCATGCTGACCTCCCACCCCACCTCAAATCCGAGCTGCTCAGAGCAAACCCAAGTCCAGTAGTGCTGCAATTAGCAAGTCTTCATGACTGCCCTAATTGCAGTGAGTCATTAGTTTAACGTGAGCAGCCTGACATGGAGGAGTTTAATATATTCTCTTACCCAGAAACAAATTGTCATCAGTCTCAAATATTTGTATATTTACTGCATATTTAACGTCACTGGTTTGCCCCAAATTCCTTTTCTTCCAAAATGTTGCCCACTAGCCTTTACTGCCCTCTGCCTCTGCCTTCCCCTGGAAATTGGAGAGCATCTCACCAGGGTGCTGGCTGTACACCACCTTTCTAGTTCCTCCTGAATTAAGTAGGCATATCTTGTAAGTACAACAAAGAAGCAGATTTGTCCTAAGGTGTATAAAATTATGGAAATTGTAAGTGATTTCTGCCTTTTGTTTGCACAGATTTGAGCAATGGCTCTGTGCATTTCATTAATATAATTGAAGGCGCAGTGTCCTTGTGTGTACAAAGCCTAACCAGTGGGCAAGTTAATCTGGTCCACCTTATGGAATCTATGGGAGCCTTCTCGTTGGCTTCAACAGGTGCACAAGCAGACACTGTCAGTGAGCTGAGTTTTTAAAAAAGGGTGGTAAAATCCTGACCCCTCGGTGTTTCCTAAGATGGATCTCACTGGGATCTGGATTTCACCTGCATCCTGTGTACGTCAGCCCCTTTGTGCCCTTCGCCTTTCTGCTCGTATATCTGTAACCAGCAAAGTCATGCATCTAAATTAGTTTAGAGAAATATTAGCCATAAAAATATTTGTCTGTAATATAAATGACTGATTTTACAGCCTATGGTTAAAAAAAAAAGTTACCGCTGTGTAAATAATGTTAATTTATTACTTTATCTGAAAAAGAAATGCTATGGGCAAAGTTTTTGGAGAACACTCTCACATAAGACAACAGGTATGCATTATGAAGAAATGGGATATGATGCTGTTTACTGAGATGTTTTTATTCATGCCAGATTGCTATCTGTATTAGACCACAGGTTTTCTTTGCGTCATATTCTTTTTAAATGCCTGAAGCAGTGGAAATAATGATCCATGCTTTATGGTCCTGCATTACAAAGTAGTGAAATCTGTACGAATTCTGGCAGTGTAGCACAAGGGCAGTTGTTCTGAGCCTTCCTTTGCCATGAGTTACATCTACATATGGAGAACAGGATCTGTCCCTTAAACCATACACATCAGTAACAGAAAGAACAAACCCCTCAAATTTCCACAGTGCTTCTGAATTATCTGTGTTGCATTTCACTGCCTAAATGTCCACATGAATTGATTGCAATCTTTGCTGCTGGCATATCAGATTCGATGCGTTCCTACAAGCCCACCTTTCTCGCCCTGCTTGTGCACTGTCATGCACAAGGAGCTGTGTCCAGGATGGTGGCTGTGATGTCTTGCATGGGCAGATGAGAAGGGACCCGTTGCTCAAGGCTCCTGTTGCCTTGATTTCCTCTCCTCTGAGCGGAGACCACACTCAGTTGCCTTATTTCTTCATAAAAGTGCTCGGTAGTTAGTCATTGATTCCTATGATAGTTGTGACCAGTCTTTTTAAATGGGATTGTGTCCTATGTAAATGGTATCATCTCCCTTTAATTCACAGCCCCACCCGCAGTAATGAGTTGTACATGGGAATCGAGAGTTGACTGTACTTCCTTGTCTTCTACCATTATCTCTCAGAAACAAGTTACTTGATGTATAATTGACTATTTTAAACATGAGTAGCTGTATAATTATTAATATCTGAGACTGATTCATCACAAGCAAATCTAATTTTAACGTTTACAGAGTAGAGAAAAGAAAGTTAACTGACCCACTGGAAGCATTAAAAGAGAAATACTTGAGACCTTCCCCGGGATTCTTGTTTCATCCACAAGTAAGTATTTTGGGAATTTTGATGTTGTAAACAAGCCTGTTGATGCTTCAAAGCAGGTGCAGAGAAATGAATGCAGTCTTAGTCATTTTTGGATTTCCTAAAACACACAGTTTTTGCTGTACCATTGTGGTGGAAAAGCGTAAGCATTGTTCTGAGCTTCTTGATGTTTTGCAGATGAAACAACATGTTTTGATTATAGAGGAAGCCAGATTCAAGCTACATGTATGTTTTAGAACCATGTTCCTCCAAAAACGTAGCGTAGCTACCAACATTTGCAGCTATCCGTGTCTTCTTCGGCACTCTCCTGTGCTCTGGGCCATTGGGGTGCAGTCAGTGTTGACTACAGGGAGGCGATGTAGATTCAAAGTCAGGCCAGCAAAGCTGGGCATCCCAGCTGCCAATATTTAAGGACTCCCAGAAGAGAGATAAAGCCTTTCACCCAGTGCTTTCAAATCTCGTAAGCAAATGCTCCATCTCTTTTACGTAGCCATTGTGGGCTCTAGCGTGCACAGTGACTTTGTAGGATCCCTGCTTCTCTATACATGAAGACAAGCTGTATGAGAGGGCTGCTGCCTTGTTCATAGGCCATAATCTTGCTGCTTATTTGTTGAATAACAAAAATTTAGGAGGGTGTCCCTAAAATGGTGTAATGGCAATATGGATGTAGTATCGACAGAGTACCTGTATGCAAACTATACGTTGCTTTTCTTCCAACAGCACCTCACCCTCATGTTGTCCTCCTCCTCCTTGCTCAAGGAGATTTTGCTAAAAATTTGGGTTAAATCTTATGCCTGAAATAAAATGCTCTGTGGTATGTGCAAATTTGAACCCCTTGCTGATAATGGGCTGTTTGATCCTCGTAATGGCAGCCCATATGGGTCTTGTGTTTTAAGCACACAACCAGGAGCTGCTGACTCTGATTCAGTTTCCTCTGATTCCTGGGCAAACCATGGCAATAATCTGCCACTACTTGCTTTTTTTTTTTTCTTCCCCTCAATGAAGTCAAAAGCTGTTATGCCCTAAGCTGTACGGAATATATTCTGAAATATGGCACTTTCGGAGAGCTGGGAAGAGCAGCTGATGGTGTATATAGTTGCAGATGCACAAACATAATACTGCTGCATGGGTGGAGAGTGCAGAAAAACACGCTGTTCCAGTTCCAATGCCCGTAGGAAGTGTAGGATCTATTAAGTATTAAAATTATCCAGATTTTATGTAAAGGATTTAATGGCACCTCAGCACCTCTTGCTAAATTACCTTATTTACCCAAGTTGCAAAGCAATAAATAAAAATTCCCATTTCACAGGAGATAGTACTAATGCACAAATACGCAAACAGCAGCTCAATCCTCTTTGTGTCCCTTGGTGTAAAACTGGACAGGTTCCTCTCCATCAAGTGAGTGATTCTGTTAGAGCAGCCAAGTGGCTGTAAATTAGTAGTAAATTATTTCAATGAGGTCGTTTTAGGTACCGTATCGATGGAAGAAATATTATTTTGCTTAATGCTAGCTAGCTTTTCAGAAGGTGTAAGTCGATGTCATTTAGTGAAGTTGGATTCAAGGGGCTCTGAAGGTTTTGCCGCAGTTTGGTCTGATGATGGTGGTAGGTAGCGTGGCCGGTGGGTGGGAAAGGAGGCCGTTTGGGTAAAATGCACCATTAGGAGTTTGGCTACGGCAGGCAGGGAAGGAGTTGGATACTCCCCTACGTAGCGTCTTATGACTCTTGAGTTACGTGGAGAATTGGAGGAGGAATAATGGGAGTTAGGCGAGGATGGCGTAGGTGCGCAGGTGAAATGGAGACGTTGGGCGTTTCGCCATTAGCAGGCAGGGTGTTGGGATTTGACCCTTCCTGTTTCTTCACAGGGAGTTGGTTAAATCTATTGTTTGTGCCCGAGGAAGGTCCTGATGCAGCCATCAAGTCCGTCAGTGTGAGTAGGAGGTGTCGGATGCCACCTCCCTGCTGCGGTGCCAGCCGAGGTGGGGCAGAGCTAGCACCCTCTGGCAGGAGGGAGGGCTAGTTCTGCACCCGTGTTGCTGACCCGATTCTTCCACATTTCTCATTGTGCAGTAGAAAAAAACTATCCATGGTAAAGACTGGCTTTTGTTTTATCCCTTACCTGGCTGCTAGGGATAACATCTTTAGCTTGGTGTGAGACGGATGGATGCAAAGGTCACGAGCGTAACATGCCCTCTTAATACGTTGTAAAAGAAAACTAAACCACCGTCACGTGCCCTGTCGAAAGAGTAAATGCCAAAATCTGCTTTCTTGCTGACTTTAATGGAAAGGAGTCTCCTGTTTGCAAAGGCAGAATTTGGCTCGGTATTTATAGAGGACTGGGGAATGGCTTGCAGAAAAGCTGTTTTTCCTTTATAGTCCTGTTCACCCCTGTAAAAGTACAGGTGTGGAGCGCGCTGCAAGTTTTCATTTTTTGCTGGCAGGATTTATCCGTGTAAAATACGAACAAAATTATTATTTGTGTCCTACAAGTTTGTGTTTCTGTAGGTGAATTTATTCCTGAAACTTGCCATCTGATGAACAAGAATTTATTTTTTTTTTAACTGGATAATATGACAGCTAGCAGATGGACCTTTAAAACAGGTTTCTGAAGTAGTGGTTAAAGACATAAAGCCTGCAGTCCTTACCCTGTCCCTGGCTGGGCAAAATTCCTCCCAGTGACGGTGGCCAGAAAGCTATGAAAATTAGATCATTTAATGGTATTTCACAATAATTTGCCATTACAAGGATTGCATTTTTAGGGAGAGAATATCCCAATTTAACAAATAATTCAGAATCATATTTTAATTAGCATCTCTAAATAAAATCTCAATTAGTAGATTGATTTCAATGAGGGTTCCAGCGCAGGAATAATATGTTGTTTTTGTTTCAATTTTGCTCCCAGTTCCAATTGCCTGATCAAAGAATTTGGGTAAGTTCATTGCTTATATTTTTGATTTAATCATTGTGAAATAAATTGCATAAGAAAAATATAATATGAAAGATAACTTACCACTCAATTACGGAGCATGCCACGCTTTCCTACAGAGTGTTGTAGCTGTAGTGGATAAATAGCCTCTTGTGTCAAATTGGCTTTATTTTTACCTACCTAATCTTGACGGCTTTATTTGGTGAAGGCAATGGGAGCTTTACCTGAGTGAGGGTTTCAAAATGCAGTCTTTGTTTATATTTAACTGAAATTGTTCCAAGCAGTTTCCTTCAGAGATTGCAGTGAAATTTTCAGGCTGAAAACTTGTTAGATTGCAGTAGTTATGAATATTTAATCTTCATTCGAGACGTTAAAATACAGACCCTCAGAGGACTTCACATTTCTGTCTGGCTTTGACTTCAGTGGGAGTTAGTGACTTTAATAGCTTTGAAGTTTTGAGCTTAATTGCTCATTGCCGTACTTAAAGCAGAAATAAACCACCCATTTATTTGCCGTGTTTGGGTCAAATTCGCCCTATGTGTATACTTACATTGTCCCCCTTACGTGAACAGGAATTGTGCTTTGGGAACCACGGGGTAAATTTGAGCTTGCTCTTCTATTTTTATAAAATGTTATTTTTAATACATCTAAATTGTTCCTGAAAAAAAAAAAAAAGAGCCACAGCAACTGCTTTTGCAGATGCAACTCAAATAACACCATGTTTTGCTCTTGCATTGCTGGCTCCTCAGCTGCAGCACTGAACCCATAAATACTTGTCCCAGATTTTTCCCAACCTTTGGGCTTCGGAGGGGAGAGCTGGAGCCAGCCGGCTGCGGCTCAGGTCCTGACTCACTCTCGCTCATCACTCTCGGTGCGACGTGGACTAATTTCACAAGACGAAGCCAGAATTTCACAAAATGAGATCTGTGATCTTCATGTACTCTTTTCCCCACGCGTCTCTGTGCAGGGTTACTGCAGGAGCCCTCAAAGGTGCTGCCTCTGCAGATTGGCACTTAGCCCTGCTCTCTTCTGCGTGCCATCCATGTGATGCTTCAAAAGCAGTGGTGGACCTTTACTTTACGTACAAGTGGCTTTTAATCCCATTTTCTTCCTGTAAAGTGATGGTTTATGCAGCTGCAAGAGATGCATTAGGATCCTGAGATGAAAGGAGCTAAGCACGCATTGAAGGACTCCTGCAAGCGCCCATAGAGGCTGAATGAGCTCAACGCAGAGGAGATAGGGTTAGATGGTAGCCTTGGGGAGCACAAGAGGTGGTTCCCAAACATTTTCTCTGCAGTAGCGGGAGCTCAGTGTAACATGTGAAGGGGCTGTGGTAGGAATTGTGCTTTGGCCCAGGCACCCTGAATCGTCTGCTCTCAGAGAAGTAGCTCTGTTTGGGCATATGTGGAAAGTTGAAAAAAACACTGCAGTCTCTTTCTTTTCTCTGCTTTCCTTGATGTTGGCCTGGTCCTCAAGCTCTGTTTGGGCATATGTGGAAAGTTGAAAGAAACACTGCAGTCTCTTTGCTTTCCTTGACGTTGGCCTGGTCCTCATTATTTCCTGCTTTTTTTCTGTGGGCATGTATCTCCTGGCTGTGCTAGTGCTTTGAGCAGCTGCGTCAGAAATAGGTATTTAACACATAAAAAGTGCCTACAGCAGGATCCTGATCCATGGATTCATCTTGAGAGATTTGAATACATCACATGAGCCTTTCTATCTCAATTCGTAGTTGCATGTGCCATATATTTCAAGATGATTTCAGATTATTTTTCGTTGTTTGGCAGGAACCCTATAGTGCAAATCAATGGGCAGCACCCTCTCTTGAATGCATCACAATTTATTTAGTCTGTAGACTCTTTCATCCCCTTCTGGTTCCATCAAGAGAAGGTTGCTATGAAGAGGTTCAGACTTTATTTGCAATAGCTTTATGGAGAATCACACAGAATCGTTAAAATAATTTTACAAATGAATGAAAAGTCATTCGGTGAGTGCATTAACGTAGCTTTTATTTTACTGGGCTTATTTTAGGGCACGATCTGTTCTGTTGGATCAGCTAAATCCCCACCAACTGCATTAATACAAACAGAGTTATTCTGGAACTGTACTGCAGATCAGCAGGAGTTTCTCACTACTGCTTCATAAAGCTCAGCCACATGTGACAGGTCTCTTGAACGTGAATATAGCTCAGCCAAGTTCCATGGCTGGATGGATATACACAGTTTCAAGGCAACAAATTCGCAAATCATAGTTTTTTGAGAAAGCATTATAACTTGAACTGGGGAGGAAAAAATCCTGAGCTTTAGTAGTTGGGTTTTCAAATTTCTCTAAATAACACTAGTAAAAATAGAAAGCAAACATTTGAACAATTTTTTTTCCCATGAGTTACAGACATAAAGTCAGTTGTTTTTGCGATAATAGCAATGAAGGAGTCGCGTTTGTGAAACATGAGGTCATGTAATTCATGACATTGTCTGCTAGATTATTTCATATCGTCAGGTTTTTCTTAAAAAGCAGCAACAACAAACCTTTGCTTTATTTATGCCACTTTTTCTTCTGTTGGTTAATAAATTTTAAGAGAAATGTTCAAGGCCCCTGCTGATGATATCTTGCCCGTTGAAATGTTTATAAATACTTGGTTTAGCCGATTATGGTAATGTCTGCATTTTTGAGTCGGAGCTGGGGAATTGCGACTGCATATTAGTTTGCGTCAGTAGGAGGTTAATAGCCTCTCAGGGAGCGGGAGGGAGGTGGGGGAAAGCTGCTTCCTTTTCCAGACATCTGGACGCAGATAGAATCAACAACTCTTATATATGTAAATCAAAAGTTACTGTTCTATATAAAATACTGTCATTCACTGATCTCAGATTAGGAGCAGACATGACTTGTCCATTAGGCAATAGCTGTATGTAAAATATGTAACGGGATCTCCTACCTCCTCAAGAGAGCTTTCTTCGTGGACATGGCAATTACACTAATCCCATCCTTGGGGTCAAGCTGTGCCTTCCTCCCCGTGCCCCATTCAGGCATTGCCGCAGCCCTTGGGCACTCAGCTGGGGTGCAGACCCCTCCTGAAAGTGCTGCCCAGCAGCTCGAGCCGTGTGCCTGCCTCCCCAGTGGTCCCCAGGGACCATCCCTGGAGAAACGAGGTGGTCACAAACACCCACCTAACCTCCCAGGAGAGATACTATCACTAACAGCTTGCTCCAGGAGTTTGGTGGGTTGCTGACCAGTAGCATCTCCATGGTCAACACAGCTCCCATGGAGGCAAGTCTTGCTTTGCAACCAGCCGTAATGGTGTTTTGAAGGAGTGAGAGTTACTTTGGTTGTGTTTCAGCTGAAAGAGGGAGTTTCATTGTGGAAGAGGGAAAGTCACCCCCGGGTTAATAATTACTCCAAAAAACACACCCCCCCAAAAAAAATGGGGAAAAAGGGCTAAGAATAAATTAGTGATTTTTACAATCATTGAAGATGATCAGTGAGTCCACCTCGGGGTGTCACTGGGATCTGAACTGTGTCACGTGTCTGTAAATGACACAGGAAGAAGGATGACCAGGCAAAGAGAAAAGTTTGCAACTGTTTATTAGGAATAGCTAAATCCAAGGCTGACTATGAAGATTTGCAGGAGATTCACAGAAAGCTGAGTCACTGGGGATTAAAATAGCAATAAAACTCCATGTCAGTAAGTACCCAGTAATACTGAGGGGAAAGTGTGACTCTTAACTCATGTCATTCAGGAAAAAGATCTTGAAGATGATAGTTTTATGAAAATATCGTCTGAGTGCTTAGAAGAAAGGAATTGAAAACATCATTATGTTATACTGCCTTCAGGTTTTGAATACAGCTGAAATCCCTCTCAAAAAGGACATAGCAGAAACTAGAAAAGACACAGAAAAGTGCAACAATGATGATAAGAGGTAGGGAACAGCTTCCGTACAAAAAGAGACTAAGTAGGTTTTGATTTTTTCAGCTTGGAAAAGAAATGCCCGAGGGAGTTGTGCCCCAGCTCTATGAGACCATGAATGGTGAGCAGAACCTGAATGAGAAATGGTTATTCATTAGTTTTGACAATGCAAAAAAAAAAAAAGAAAAAAAGAAAGAAATAATAAAAAAAATAAGGGCGCCCAGCTGAATTATCAGGCAAAAGGCTTAGAAGGAGCAAAAGCTTTATAAAAAAGCAATATCTTTTCATATGCACCTAATTAAATTGGGGAACTCTTGTTGGCAAAAATATAAATGGATTCGAAAAGGGTTTAGCCAAATGAATGGGAGCAGCAGCCCCCAATGGCTGTTCGACACCGTAACCGAGATGCAACCTCCAGTTAAGGCTCTTGCACCTCTCCTTGCTGGTGCGTGACAGAAGATACTGGTGAGAACGTCTGTCCCTTGCCCTCCCTCCTGTGCATGCCCTGAGGCTGCTGCTTGAAACCAACTTCCCCAAAGCGCGTGTCGCGGTTTTTAATTCCCCCTTGGTTTTGGTGCCCGAGTTAGTCCTCAGTGCGACAAACCCCAGGTTTCTCAGTGGAGATTTTGCAAGCAGACTGATGAGCAGGGGCTGTCTACCTGCACATAAAGTCACTGAGAGCTTGTCGTGGGTCTGGGCTGGCAGGATTTTATAGGCTGTAATAAGCCTGTGCAGCCCAGGTGCCCATCTCATATAGGGAATTGCATCCTGAAGGCCCCGAGCACCAGTAAGCTCCAGGACTTCTTAAGAAAAAGCCCCAGTTTGGTTCTGGTGAGTAGATAGTAATAGCTATAATTATCCTGACAGCAGTGGAATGTATCAGCAAAGGCTTGGGGCCGAGCACTTCCCGTTGTTGCTGGTGCATTTCTTGAAAAATATAAATCATACCAGGTAACTACATAGATCAGTCTTTAAAAAAAAAAGCAACACAACAAACACAATAGTCATTCCTACAGTGAGAAACATATTTTTGGAAAGCGAGTAATACTTTAAAATAATTGGAAGTGCTCGTGTTTCCTCTGAATGAGGGATTTAAGATTAGATGCTGATTTCATACCTATTTTGGGACTGATGTAACCCTGGAGGCAGTGTTGGAGGTACCACTGATCTGCATCGCCGCCGTACATCAGAGAAGAATCGCTCTGAATTTTTCCTTTGCAAAATCCTGGAAACAAGATCTACAGAAAATAAGCATGACTAAGCCATTTTAAATGTAAAGGGGAAAACAGTTGCTTTAATATATTGGTGTAGTGGACCATGTACGTGAGAAATGGTGATCTGAAAATGATTTAAAACCACTAGATAATGAAACTGACTTGAATATTAAATATATATAAATAAAACATTTATTATACTTCTCAATGCCCTTATTATTCTTCACCATAAATATGTGCTATCATAACCCATGCACTGTCTTGTCACTGCTAATCAGCCCGAAGGCCAAAGGTCATTTTTCACTCAAACCATTTATTTTCTGCAATTGCAAAATAGATGAATGAATTCTTGCGGGAAACAATTAGAAGGAATTAAAGGCAGTGGGCAGACTATTGTAAAAGCTTTAAGAATCAGTTCTGACTAAAGCAAAAGATGAAGTTGTATGAAAAGAAATATATGGTAATGTTGAGTTGTATGGGTTGATAATGACATCTCAGTGCCGAGATAGAATTACCTCCTCTCCCAGCAGCATCATCATTACATATCTCACGCCTGTGATCAGTACATGTCAAAATCCTTCATATTGACAAATGTGCTGTCCACTTGCATCTGTGGAGAATGTTTTAGCAGCTGAGTGATTATGAATCAAACCCCAGAGCTTACAGCCCCTACTGCCTCGCAATGCTTTCACATTTGTTGCCTGACAAGTAAATGTATCTTGACTTCCCTCTGAGATTTTTTTTTTTTTTTCCACTGTGTTTGATGAAAGACATTTGGCAAATTGGCAGTGGTACCCTGTACATTGCAATTTGTACTCAGCATTAGGAATCTGAGCATGAAATGAGAGGGCAGGCTACAGGCTAAAGGGAAAAAAAAAACCCAACCCAAAGCCAGGGCTAACCAGCATGTGAACAGTCATTCCAGGAGACAAACGTGCAATTCTGCCCATCAAAATAAAATTTAAAAAACCCCAACAAATGTGCAATTCTTCCCATTACAATAAAATTTTAAAATCCCAACAATCGGAGCGGTCTTTTATGGATTTTGAAGAATGGGCTGTAAAGCTGTTCTCAGCTGAGGAGTCTTCAGCATCTTGCCTTTCATATAATTCCCTACTTTGTTGCAAGCAAGGTATTGCACAGGGCTCATGCTGTGGTTTTTATGCTCTGTAGGTGAGATCTTGGGGGTTTTTTTTCATTTGTTTGTGGGGTTATGAAGAGGCAGATGGTTACCCTCACCTGTCAGTAGGCTCAGCAGCAGTCTTGAGTTCTGCGAGTGACAATGTTTGAGGACTTGGAGCAGTTTTTCATGGTCAGTTCCAGATACCTTAAAAGAAACGGTCCTCCAGAAATTATTTAATCCACACTCCCTGAAAATTGCAGACGGCTAACCAAGAGTGAAAACATCCCAAAGTACGTAGGGTTCACAAGCAACTAAAGGTGGAGCAGGAATATTACGAGGCTGTAGAAAAATAACGTAGACATCTAACAGATAATGTAAACACAGCACCAAACCCACCAAAGCTTCATTTCTTAGGGATTTTTCTCATGGTCTTTGACTGTGATGGACAAGAAAACTGGACTGAATGGTTGGATGTGGCTGGGACCTTTATTGAGCTTCTCTGGGTCTGGCTTGTTGCAGCTGTTATTTGAGCTGTTCGTAAGGTTTCCTCTGCAGTACTTGTCCTCTGCAAGTCCTTTAAAAAAGCCCAAACTGTAAAAATTCAGTTATTGTTGGGATCTCTATTTTTTCTGTTATTTGGTGAAAAATGGCCAATGATTTCAGTAGATAGGATGCACAGACTCATCGGCACAGACCCACAGAGCATAAACTGGAATTTTATAGAAGCTGAGGCTTAAAAACAAGAAATGAACATTGGCTAATTTAGGTTTTGTGTGGAAGCAGCTTTCCGTGATAGCGATCAGGACAGGAGTTCTGCTGCGTGCTGGCCTTGCAGAGAAACAGCACCCCACCGTAGCAGTTATGGGTGTTACTTCAAGTGGGGCAACGTCGTGGCCACCACTTTGCCTAAGGTGCCCCGTAAGTTTCAAGACTGCAACTCTACATTTGACTTTTTTTTTTTTTTTTTTTTTTTTAATCTTGGGAGTGTAAGTCCTTTCTATTTCAGGTTTCCAGCGAGGGCAGAAAGCTGAAGCCGTATTCACCGCGATGGGTTCTGTGCTATCTTCTGTTGCAGATGTCAGCTATAGAGAACATGGCCGAAAAGCTGGAGACTTTTAGTGCCCTGAAACCAGAGGCCAACGAGCTGATCCAGTCGGTGCCGTCCATGTTCAACTTCCGCGCCCCGCCGAGTGCCCTGCCCGAGACCCTGCTGCGGAAGGGCAAGGAGCGCTACACCTGCAGGTAGAGCCAGAACGGCCCCCTGGTACCCTCCTGGGCTCCCGCAATTCCCCCTGCTCAGACGGGTGATGGGGATCGCGACGGGTCTTTCAGGGCTCCAATAAAACGTGGAAAGCGTTTCGCTTTGGGGTTCTTATTTATTAAATTACTGCTGTTATGAAACAAAGAGTTTGCTCTGTATCATACCGGTTTGATAAATGAGGTGGAAACTATTATATAAACAATTCTTTTTTCCAAATTTTCTCATCGCTTTCATATGCACAAGTGTGCTTTCATTATTGATTTTTTTGATCATAAACTACAGACATATTTTTTCTCAGGCTTCTGGTTTTAATATCCAAAGGGATCAGTGATAAAATACATGACTTATTAGGACTTATGTGTACAGAGTTAAAAAAAAAGTACAATGAAGATAGTCATTGTACATGTAGCCAAAATGAATGGGAGCTTTGTCGAAGAGGAGAGTGGAATTAACTGTGTGGGTATTTTGAAGGCTTATACATCACGTTGTGAAAAAATAAATGGGATGTTAAAAGCGAAGGGATGCAATCTTCAAAGTCGTCACGTGGAGCAGCCACCACCCTCATTCACTTAAGAGAGTGCTGTGTGTGCTCTCTCCCCGTGCAAAAATGGGCTGAATGTCGTTAATAGAAGTGGGCAAATTATAAACTGAATATTAGTATGTTACGTGAACAAAGGGGGAGGGCTCACGATAAGGTTTTTTTTGCCATTATTTTTCCTATGACATATTATCGAGTTTGGAGAACGCTTTTTAAATTGCATTATTTAGGTCTATATCATCTCCAGAATGTGCAGGCATTTGACACTGGCATATCGGTTTATCTGATCTTTTTGAAAACATGTCACCTTCTTTCAAGACATGTTGTTATAGAAACATACCTTGATGGATTAGGTCTTTGAGTCTTGTCTGCTCTGATCCTATTCAATGCACAGAACGATGTCACGTTTGCTGACACATAGAATTGGTTGAAAGGTTTGAAATTTGCTTACATGGAGGCAGAAAGCCAAGGCTTTAATAACAGATTCTCTTGATTCCAAATCTGAATGTGACTGGTAATCACCTAGTGAGCTTAGAAATTTGGGGTGATCTTTAAAACTGGTATGTTTTCATATATCCCTTGCTTAGGCACAAAAAAAGCTGGTCGGTGCCAGCAGTTCCAGTCCCATTCTTGTGTGTGTGTGAATCACATTTGCTGAATGCTTTTATTGAAATGTTGTTACGCCAAGGCAATGCCAATACCACCATATATTAATGATTCAATTTGGGCTGTGCATCCAGCGCAGCTCAAACTGGGATGAAGCCGTAGAAGGTTGCGTATGTTATCACACCTTTTCTTATCACAGATACTGCGGCAAGATTTTCCCGAGATCTGCAAACCTCACACGTCACCTGAGGACGCACACTGGAGAGCAGCCCTATAGGTACCGTGACCCCTTCCCCGCGTGTCTGTGATGTGCTCAAGTGAAGAAAGCAAGGGAATGAGTGTCCAACAGCCTTGCTCAGCCAGCTCTAGCGCTGGCTCCTTAGCAGCCCATTGATGACCCACCATGGTGTTTTGGCCTCAAACAGGGCTTGTTGTGCTTGCCTGGACAAGGGCGGCTGCGTTCAATGCTACAGCGCTGGAGCTGTGGAGGTGGCAGAGGGTTTTGGCCCTAGTTAGTGAAATTCTTTTTCTTAGGCAGCCACCCAGGCACCATCCGCAAGTCCTGCCTTTGCCTCGTGGCATAGCCAGCACTTCTGAACCAGCGTGGTTGAAATGATTTTCAGTTGGGCTCATGTTTTCCCTTGCAAAAACGTTTTGTTGTAAGAGCTCTGCAATGTTATTTGCGGGCTAAAGTTGAGTGTTTCATCAGTCGTCTGATTTCTGAAAGGTCCTGGTTGCAAAGGCGTTGCTGTATTTATTTGTTTCCTGCCTATCCTGGATCCTTTCTCAGGTCTGCTTAACCAAAACCCATGTGGGCGTACTCGCTTGTTGATCCGAGTATGTATGTGATATTGTATCCAGGACAGTCACATGCGGACATGTGTATAGAAGCTTCACCTTATTGCAAATGAAAGGCTAATTTAAATCAACTGGAAAGAAGCCAGTTCATGTTCCAGTAAAACAAATGCACCAATTTCGGCATTTTATGGGCTGTAAAGAGCAGAGTAAGCTCGTTGTTTTTGAGGAAACAATATGGGGTTTTTTCCGCCTCTAGTCTCTTTGGGAAATGAGATTCACATCTGATTTTGTTGAAGGAAGGTCTTGATGCACATTATACCCATCCATGGCATAAAAGCCATGAGCAATTAGTAGCATAATGGACGATTTCAGCACTAAAAAAGAAAAAATTGACATCATTGACAAGCGTAAGAGAAACACGGGAGAAGTAAAAGACTGAAAAAGTAAAGTGATGAAGACTGCTGGCTAGTTGCCAGCCAGAGAATTTGGAATAGTTATAGTATGACTTAGTAATGGCTTAAAGAGCAATACAGTAAAGGCTTTAGGGACTCCAAATCGCTACAGAGTATGAAAATTGATGCCTCTGGTACCAGAGTGATAGACTAAACTACTCACATTGGCACAGTATTAAAGGTTGGGATTGTTTATTGCTGGTTTTTGCAAGATAACCAAATTTCCTCTGGGATTAGCAATTGAGCAAGCTAATTCCTCAAGAAAAGATTTAATCACACAGTATAATTTAGAATAGGAAAAGAAATTGCCATTTTTACCTTATTTGAACATTAGAATAGATCTGTTTCAAGTTTTTTCCAAAAGTGTTTAATTGTATTCTATTGGCAGCACATGAAACAATAGAGTTATTTCTCTACTGTTTTCAAACTTCCCAACTTTGCGTGCAACAGTTTTAAAAACATGGGGATCAATTACCCTAGCTAATGTGATGCCATTACCTCGGAAATATTATGCTTATTCCTAAAGGCAGTACTTAAAAATGTAAAGCCTAATGTGAATAAAAGCTAAAAAACCCGCCGTAGAAGTGACGTCTCCATTCCAAGAGCACAGCTCTCCAGTTATTCAGCCAAAACTTGTCTTTATTTCAGGGAGGGTTTTGCCTCAATAGGGACCAAGGAACTGCAGTTGGTTACTAAGGCTGAGCCCAGAAGGTGCTTCATGTCTTGTAGGACAAATCTTACATTTCCAGCTACTAACAAACCCTTTTCTACCCACTTGTTTTGTTTTGGTTTTGTTTTTTTTTTAGATGCAAATACTGTGACAGATCCTTTAGCATATCTTCTAACCTGCAGAGACATGTCCGTAACATCCACAATAAAGAGAAGCCATTCAAGTGTCACTTGTGTGACAGGTGTTTTGGTCAACAAACCAATCTTGACAGACATCTAAAAAAGCACGAGAACGGGAACATGTCTGGTATGTATGCCTTTTCTCTTCCCAGCGTGCCCTGCGTACCACCAGTGTTCATATACAGGGACTGCACGTTCACTTTCAGTGCTGCTGAGTGTCATTAGGGACATGTTGCTCTGCGCTGTCTGCTCCGATGAGTAGGTTTTTGGAAAATATGTAAGTGTGCCTAAGTTCTGCTGACATTTAAAGTGCTTTGAAAATCCCAGCATAAACTCTGCCCTTGTATAACTTATTTCCACTGGCTGATGTCTTTTCTTTTGGTTTTAATTAAGCCAACCGTAGCGTTTTGAGAACAGACTGGGAAAATTGGTTTAATCCCATCTCCACAATCACTTGGCGCTCAATAGGAGTCCTAGATTTAGAGTCTCAGGGGGCACTCTAAAACATTTTCTTGGCACCTTCTAAAATATTCCCACTGTCAGGAGCTGAAAAGCGCTAGCTATTCTGGAGGTAATGATGCCTCCCAAGCCCCAAAGCAAATCGGTCACCGCACAGCAGCAGCAAAGGCAGTGGCAGGTAGTGGATATCATTGGTCTGGTTTGGATATCTGCAGGGTTTAATGAAAACCCTCTCTGCAGTCTTTTCGGTCTACATTTTGCTCCGCTGGAAATAACCAGGCCCATGCAGTGAATGCAGAGCTGTCTTTCCCCCGATGCTCAGAGAAAGACGGCTGTCAGTGGTCTTTCAGTGGTAATGAACCTGGGTGATTATGTCAATGGCTGCACCATATTTTAAGCAAATCTGCATAATTAGTAGCTAAAATGAAGTTCTGTTTGCTCAGTTCAGCCATTGGTCTAACACAGTTATTGATTGAGTCACAAGGGAACGGGAGGGAGATGTTGAAATAGATACTTGGCAAAAGTGATTATAAACCATGGAAATGGCACCCAGCCTGCAAGTAGTCGTTTTGGTTGGAAACCAGCTTAGCCCATGGGTAATAATACTTCCCTTCTAATTACTGGTTTTATGGCCAAAAGCTGATGGATCACTATGACCAACTTTTTCTGGCTTTCACCCATTTTAACCGTTCTTTCTATTTCAACTTTATATAAATGGTTAAATATAGAAAATGTAAAGTCCTCTGTTTTGCTTTAAGGTACTGCAACATCTTCACCTCACTCAGAACTGGAAAGCACAGGGGCAATCCTAGATGACAAGGAAGACTCTTACTTCACAGAAATTAGGAATTTTATTGGAAACAGCAACCACAACAATCAGTCCCCCCGAAACTCAGAGGAGAGGTGAGTTGCAACTGATCTGCCTTCAAAAGGCGCCACTCTTTCTTTTCCAGATTAAGCCTGTTTTTTCGCCTTACATGATGTCTGGAGCCAGAGTTATTTTAGCAATCTGATTGCTTTAGTGTTCACCGTGGTGTCTTATGAAAAGAAACGTGTTGATTCCCTCGCCATCGTGCATGACCGTATTCCAGTGGTAGACGCTGGACAGAAGGTTGATCTGTGAATACATTTCTCCTTGTATTGGGAGCTCTCAGCTTCAAGTTCCCATCGTTGATTTAAGTCTGTTGAAAAATGCCCTCATTTTACATTCACAGCAGAACAAGTGAATTCTACATCCTGTGGCTAAATGTAGAGAGCCTTACGATTTAAATGCAATATAAATGTGTAATTAATAAAGTAGACTAAGCTAAATTCTTGGATCAAATGAAAGTTTCTAACTGAAAGTCCTTTCCCGTAAGTAACTCAATCCCAAGAAAGATGCTGAGTAGCAAAAAGTCTGTGAGGCCGTGGGTAGGCGTTGGTAGTCCACAGTGAGAGACTTTTTCCTGTTCAGATTTATTGAGTATATGAGTGTTTCAATTCTTCTGAACTAACAGAAGAGAGACCACTTCTAAATATTTTCAGCTAATAAAAACAGAGCTAGGCAGAAAAGGCTGTAGCATGGATACGCACATCAGCTATACAGGTTTCTTTGAGATTGGTCTTGCATTGTGCATTATTTGTGCTTTTGAATTGGCTTTACGTTATCAGCATCAACCATTTCTTAGTGCTGGTGACAAACTTCACTGTCTTCTCAATTTCCAGATGCCTTTGTGAAGGGGTGAAAATGGTGGACATAACACAATTTCAACGAAAGTATTGGATTAAGTGATTACATGCATATTCAAATTTCATTCCATCTTGATTGGCAATGAGGGCTTGGGATTTTTTCTTTGCACATCTGGTCTCAACATGTCCTCCGACAGGAAGTCAGCAAAGTGGAAAGGTTGCTGGGTTGTGCAGTGTTTCCTTTCTAAATTTGGCACTTCAGACTGCTCTTGATGGATATTTTATCCCTGGCAAATTGCTGCATTTGAAAGCATAATTAGAGAATCTGTTTTCTTAATCACATGGCTTTTGTTACTTTGGTTGTAGTCCATCTCCCTTTCATTTCTAGCAGCCTCAATTGAGCATAACAAGCAAGTTGGCAGCCCAAACTGTGCTCAACAATTTCTTATTTCTGCCTATTTAAATAAAAGATGATAAAGAGATATTGCTCTGATTGTCTTAGAGGGGGGTGGCTGCTTCAGTTCTCCCGTCTCTACCACAGTCTCAGATTTTTTGATACTGTGATATAAACAGACCATTCCCTAGCTTTTTGCCTTTTTTTTCTTTTTTTTTTTTTTTTAATGCAGTACTAAACTTGCAACAATCAGCTGGAGTTTGCTTGGAAAATAGATGAAACTCTATTATATTTAGGAAAATGATGCTATTGTTGTATAAGAAACTAGCTTTCACTTGTGTATGCCCCATAAGAAAGTACCTCTGTTACAACAGCAAGTCAAATGCTAAATACCAAATACGCTGCTAGGGCTCATCCTTATCTTGCTCGAACTTTTGGTATAGTCCATATTGTCCCGCACAGTTTGAAGCACACGGCGTCTAAAGCAAACTGTAGGCAGACAATAAAGTTTCCATTTTTATAACTGTATTCCTGGAAGAGTAAGGACCTTTTGCACAATGAGAACAATAGATGAATCAAGGCCCCCGTGCTACGTAACGCAGTGGAGCAGATACACTGGTAGCGTGAATTCGTGTGGCTCCACTGGGTTCAGCCCTTTCACACCACTAGTACCTCGGGCCATGCATTTGTTGACGTGGTGGTGCCGAATTTCTTTAGCTCTCATTTAGTGTGGTGGATGCAATGCAGCTGCGGATGGTTAGAATCCTACGGGGCTGAGGCTGTTAGCAGACGAGCCCCTTCTTCAGCGTGGGTATGATATCCTTGATAAAATCCCGTAGGAAGAAGTTAAGAGAAGTCATTGTCTGAAAGCAAAGGACAACATAATAACAACAGGTAGACCAAATGGTTTTCTGTGTGTGTATTGCTATAATCACTCATTTAATAAGTGCACTTCAAATGCTATATGGCCTTTCTTTTCAGTACTTCTTCCCCTTCAAATCAGTCAATAATGTAGTTCAGCGTGGAGGCAATATTGCAGACCACTCTTCAGGTCTTCAGCTGAAGTCCCTTAGATTCCCATGTATGTAATCCATATGTTCAGTGAAGTAGTATGGCTTCCAAATGAGTGGTAGTGTGCAAAATTAATTATGCGTGTAATTTTGATTTTAAAACTCCGAAGGCAGTATTGGATGTCATTTTTGAAAATGCCGGATCTGATTTTTCAGAGTTTCTTGGCCCCTACAGCTTCTGTTAAAAGGCAATGAGTTGTTTTGCCCAGACTACATATATGATTGGAAACATGAGATGAAATAATGCGTGAGAAAGTTTGGCATGGATATCTGAACATACCTCCGCTTGAACAGTAGTTTTAGCAGGATAACAGGAAAATCCCATGCTGATGGTACTGCAACGTCCCACCAGTTTTTGAGTGGAATTTTCTCCAATAACGCCTAAATGTCTGAAGCTAAACAAGATACAAAATGCAGAAATCACTTTATTCTACTGGGACAGATCCTTTTCGGATCTGCCTCTGACAATCTGCTGGTGAGGAGCTTTTGCAACTGATTTGTGATTATTTGGTTTGCTTTGGTACTTTCAGGATGAATGGCAGCCACTTTAAGGATGAAAAAGCCATGGTAGCCAGCCAGAACTCAGATTTGCTGGATGACGAAGAGGCAGAAGATGAAGTCATGATGGATGAAGAAGATGAAGAGAGTGAAATTGCCGGGAAAGCGGTCAAAGAGCCTGTTTCAAGTGACATGCACGAGGGAACTCCGGAGGAGGATTACGAGGAAACGAGTACTTTGGACATGAACTGCAAAGCTTCCCCTGGCAGGTTGGTGCCTTCCGAGTATTGGTGTGCCTGATACATGAAGTAGAAACAATAAACCATACAAGAGTGCCAGCACCAAACTGTGTGTCGTGGGAACCGGGCCGAAGTAGCCAGCTTCCCAGTTACAATAGCAACGTGCGTCTGTGTTTGGGTCAATACCAGCCCTGTTTTCAGTCTCTTCATGCAATCTCTAGCCCTTAAGAGGAAAAATAACTGTGCTTGGGGAGCTATTGTCAGGTTCTGGGTAGAGACAGGAAACGTTCATGGGAGAGACGTTATCTGCTCCATAAACCGATCTGGATCTTGTGTAATGTTCTTGTGGAAGGCTGTGGAGACACCAGGAGAGAGACAACCTCTCCCTCCCCTGCTCCCGCTGCCCGCTCTCTCCTCTTTAGGAAAGAAAGGGGAATTTCTTTTATTTCAGGTTCATAGTTCCGCAGGGCAAAGTGGTTTACGAATGTAAAAAAGGGGGAAATTACTCGGGTGTGTAAATCTGAGAGGGTGAGGGAATGCGGAGAGGATCGTTCAATTGACGTTAAAACCTCTGTGGTGTTTTTGTAGGTATAAAGAGGAGGAGTATAATAAGACTGGACTTTCGGCTTTGGACCACATAAGGCACTTCACAGATAGCCTCAAAATGAGGAAAATGGAAGAAAATCAATATAGTGAAGCTGAATTGGCAGCTTTCAATAATTCCCAGCTGCCAGAGGACCTAAAACAACCGTTGTACAGGAAATCCAAATCCCAGGTAAAACCTTAACTCAGTTAAAATGTTATTGTCGCCAAATACCCGAAGGATTAAACTGTTAGTGTGTGGCAGGCAAGGTTGTTTCAGCTAAGTCTGTTAGATGTTGCTGCCCCTAGGTCCTCAGCATGTTTTTAAAACAACAACTAGACTGATATCCTAGTGCTATTTCTTGATATTTTATTTAAACATCAATTAAAAATGGGTCTTTTTAGCCCCTTTAAAAGATTCCTGTTTAAAAACCTGCAGAATATGCCTGTAGTAAAGGTCAGCAAAGGACTGTGGTATTTGGTGAAATACGGGACCAACCAAGGGATAAGGTAATTCCTCAGGCTCTTGAAAAGAGCCTCCTGTGCCAAGAATCTGAAGGCAAAGGAGACTCTGGGACCTTGTCTACTATGAAAGGTTTCTCAGAACTTCGTGAAGCCAGATGAAAGCAGAAATTATTAGCAAGTCAAAAGTGTCAGTGAAAAGGTTGACAGTGGTTTTACCTAACGCGTTTTGGTAACTTTTAGACAAATTGAGGACAGCAGTTGTAGCCTAGATGATGCCCTAACCGCGTAGGGGTGGCACGGGTCCAAGCTCAGATCCACGCCGCGGGATCATAACCTCTTTGTCCTTATTTCCCCGTCCAGGCGTATGCGATGATGCTCTCTCTTTCCGACAAGGACTCCCTTCATTCCGCATCCCACAATTCTCCCAATATGTGGCACAGTATGGCAAGAGCTGCTGCAGAATCCAGCGCCATTCAATCCATCAGTCACGTATGACATTGTGAAGTCTGACCGAGAATGGGACCAAGTCCAAACCAGTAGCATGGCTCTTTCATATATGACTATTTAAAAGACTGCTGAGCAGAATGCCTTATAAATCTGCAGGGTCACTCATTTAAAGTCCGGTGACCTTAAACTGAATAATTTTAAAAAGAAAGAAACTATTTATTCTCAATATTTTGTTTTGCACAGCAAAGGCAGCTGCTGACTTCTGGAGGATCAATGCGACTTAAAAAAAAAAAAAAAAGTTTCAGTGGATTATGTAAACTGGGGCCGGGAAAAAGTGTCTTCCAGTTCACCCGGCTTTGAGGGGCAGGGGCAAAAGGGTTAAGACTGCATTGATTAACACATGGGCACTCCTTTAAAGTAGGAACTGAATTGATTTTCTTTTTGTATAAGATAGTTTGACACAGGATTGGGAACAGTTGCTTTTATGTACAAATCTCTTCGTTAAAGCTTTATGCATTTTAGCCCTTCAAAGAAAGAAGCTAGTTCTATCAAATGCACACTATCCATCGTAAATGTAGAAAGAAGTAACAGGGAATATTTTGTTCTCTCCGTAATTCTTTTGCCTTCTCAACTGCATTGTTAAAAAAAAAAGGAAAAACAAGGAAAAAAAGAAAGAAAGAAAAAAAAAAAGAACTCTGAGAAACAATACATAAGAGGCTTGTGTATATTGTAAACTATGAATGTTCACTACTCCGAGAAGCTAAATCATCCAGATAATTCCGTGAAAGCGCCGTGTTCATCGACAGCACCACTAGTTCAAATCATTGTAAGGAGATTTTAATTTTTGACAATCACGTCACTATTTTGTTGTATTGTTTCCTTTCCCCCCTACCCTCTAATTTCTTCTTTGTGTTGTGCGTACCATGTATTTATTTGTTGGCAAACGATTGTTTGTTGATTAAAATAGCACTGTTCCTGTAACAAACAGCACTGCTCCAGTCCCCCACTGCGTTACAATGTAAGGCACCCATGTACTTCAAAAAAAAAGTGAGGTGAACTGATCTGTGTATATGGGAGTGCAAAACAGTGTTTGAAATTTTCTTACATTCCTCTTCTATTTTATTTTTGCCTTTTAATGAACTAAATAACTAATAGATGCGACTTAGATTTTTTTTGTAATACAGTAAATTGATTCGATTGTATAAACAGTTATAATTTCTTCATGAAAGCATGATTCTTCTGATTAAAAAACTGTACCCAATATTTTATGCTGGTTGTCTGCGAGCTTGTGTGATGTTATGTTCATGTTAATCCTATTTGTAAGATGAAGTGTTCCAAATTTATGTTAAAAAAAATAAATAAATAACGGAAGGTATTCAGTTATTTTTGGGGGGTTTTTTTTTTTGGCCTTTAGTGAGGGACCAGATTTATTTTTCCTGTTGTTTATAATCTCATTTTGAAATAATCGGCAAGTTGAGGTACTTTCTTTAAATGCTTTGTACAATGTAACTGTTACGCATTTCAGTACATTACTATGGGAGGATCAACTTAAAAAAAAAAAAATAAAGGACTACAAAACTGAAGGGATCTTTTTCCTTATTGTCTTGGGTTTTGTCTGGGTCAGGGCAAAAATGGCCTATTTCGTCTGCAGTCTGGGGAGAAAAGACACTGTCTGTGGGGTCACGAGGATAAGGGTAACCAGAGGACGGGGCGCTGCGAAGCACCTTGGACTTGGTCATGCAATTCAGAACCCAGCACCAAGTCTCTCAATAGGCCATTGGAGGGTTTTAGATCAGTGCTTTAAGCTTCGAAGAACTGCCATGGAAAAGAGAAATATTTAACTCATTTTACAGGAGGGATTGGTGCGAGGTCGTCTTCGAATGCTGTTGTGGAGTCTTGAGCTTGGGCTGGTGATGCAATCCCGTCCTGCTCGTGGGGACAACGTCAGGGAGCAGTGGTGTGGTTGGCTGCTAGCAAAACATTGACTCACCAGAATGATAAAAATCCATAGTTGAGAAGCTGAATGGGCCTCCAATTGCATGAAATGAGCCTTTAGCTTCATTTGAGCGGTCCCTTTGAAATTGGGTCCAAAGCCCTGCTTCTGGACAACCTGCAGAGCGGTGGGAGGTGGGATGTCCAAGAAAAGCCAGCATTGGCCCAGACAATACACATTTGCCTTCTGCCAGCTCTTCCCATCAGCAGAGATAGGAGGACTGAGACAACTTCAAAGAGGACCAGGGGGATGTCCCTGCCTACCACCCACAGCCAGCTTGACTTTGCATCTACTGCACAGGACTGTCCTTCAACTTCAAGTGACTTGAAAGAGTGAATGTGACACTCTGTGGAGTCTTTTTTTTTTTTGCAATTGGACCAAGGATTGTTATCACCAGATGCAAGCGAGCTGGCATGAGCAAGCAATGAAGGAGCGCAGCACTGGGTATCAGTAACCCAGGGCAGCTAGTAGCAAACTGCTTACTAAATCCATCACTGTCCCAGTGGGAAAGGCACATTTAGGGAATATGATTTGCAGAAAGTTTGGTTAAATCTGGCTCCACTGAAGCCAAAAGTACTTCCAAAGATGGAGGCCTTGTCTCCAGGCCAAAGGCAAGGGGCATTCCTCGCTCAGCCTGCTTCAGTACACAAAAACCTCTCGTAGCTCACCAGATCCTTAAGTTACATTTCAGAATAAATTACATGTGTCATCCTTGTCTTCAGCCCAGCTACACTTTGACTGGTTTTATAACCATGACGTCGCAACTGGGGCATTGGCAGGGCTGAATCCAAACCCAGCGAGGTCAGGTGCAGGCTGCCTTTGGTTTGCATTTAGAGCTCCCGAGCCTCATGCACAGGCTGACGGCAAGCTGAGACCTACAGGCCAATGGTTTTCGTGCAGGAAGCCTAAACCATACCTAGAAAAAAAAACAAAACCAAAACCAAAAAAAAACCCCAACCTTCTGTGCATGTTCTTGTACTCACTTCACTGGCCTGAGCCAATGATCAGGTACACACAGATAATTGCACAAATAGGCTATTATTTTTAGTGCAGTTAAAGTCACCGTGAAACTTGGGTTTAGGTTTCTGCCAAATAAAGAGAACAAATAGATTAATCAAGTCGAGTTTTATCTGCAAACAGCTTTCCAGATCGTTTTCCCCTTTAATTTGATGCAATGACAGTTCTTATCAGCTCTGCCCTCACCTGCCTTAGATGAAAGGGATTTGGGGAGGTGGAGAAAGGGTGGGACAGTTTCTCCTGGATTTAATGTTCTGGGTTACAGTAGCACACTCCCATCATATAACTGTCAGGGAAAGTACTCTTTGAGCTGAGCAGTAGGGTTAGTTTAACCTGCTCATAAACAGGTCTGTTGGCCATCAGGGAGCAGCTGCCACCTCCTCCTCCAATCCCAGGCTGACGTTCCTGTTGAGAGCCTTGAGCTTTGTATTTTTTGGGATGTGGTTCAGTGGTCATGGTGGTATGAGGTCAACGGTTGGACTTGATATCTCAGAGGCCTATTCCAACCCAATAATTCTATGATTCTATGTCAAAGTACCCCACCCAGCGGCACTGCCTATGGGGTGTGATGAGCAGAGGGGGCGAAACGTATCACAAGGGGTCCTTCAACTCTATGTAGATACCTTACTGTGACCTTGATTTTCACTGCCTTTTCTCAGTGGCAGAGTTATTCACCTAGAGGAATTAGCTGGAAATCAAATACAGATTTGATTAGCCATCTCATTCCCCAAATAAACAAAGTAAACTGGATCATTTTTGTCTTTGTATCATACCCTCCGTGATGGACCACACAGAGGCACTTGTTCAGATGCAGACAGATTGCTAAGTGCAGACCAATGTTTCTGGCTTTCTGCTACAGTGTATTTTGGGTTTTTTTAAGAAAAAAATAATTTCAATACTTTTTTTTTTTTAAAAAAAAACCCTTCAGGTTATTTCGGCATCATCCTACTGTTCACCCTACTGTACTAGTTTTCCATAAGTCAACAAATCGTTCCCATGTGATACAGCAGCCTTACTAGATGAAGGAGCTGTATATTACCTCCTCAATTCCTATCTACAGAATTTAACAGAGCACCAGCATGACAAGATGATTAATCAATATTTCACCCTGGCCCAGATCCTCAATACCACTGTTCCTGTGTCAGCCCTGCTGTTTTACGGCATTAATAGCCACATTTGTGGAGTAATGGGAGGGGAAGTTATTATAAAAACATTTGCGAGGCTGCTTTTGCTCAGCGATTCAGTTTGGCCCATTGCTCCATGTATGTCTTGAACTTTAAAACTTTCTGTCAGGTCCCTCTTGCTCAGACATATGGAGAATTGCTGCAAACTCCTGGATCGTTTCACCTCACTCTGCTGCCTTCCAGCTATATTAAGTCTCATTTGTGGTTTTGCTGGTCAGTCATACAGTGGCGTGGAAAAGGTAGTTCAGTTTAAAGATGCTTCCAGTAATGATTTAAACAAAACAAAGACATCCAGCACCAAACAGAAGACCCTTTCTCCATGTCAAAGACCTTGTACCTTGCAGGACTCCCATTATAAGAAAAATGTAGCCTGGCCAAAACTCATCCTCCTTCCCATCCTGTTGAATGGCTGTGTAGGTTTGTACATACACCTACCCTGTGGCTTCCAACAACCCGATTAATTAATCTTTTGTTTCTACAGAGAAAATGGTGCCAGCTTTAGGAAAAGCTCAGCTTTACAACTCAGAGTCACTTGATGAGGTCTGTGGAGAAGGTGAAGGGGAGAACAGCAAATCGAAAGTAAAAGAAAAAAAAATACTGCATTCCTTTTCTTTCCCTTAATTTTTTTTCCCCAACTCAGATTCGTTTGCTGCTAGAAGAAGAAAAATTTCAGCAAAATTCACTGTTTTGCCAGAATTTAGATTTTAATCAGACTACCGTTGAAATAAATAATCCCTGAAGAGAGGCCCTACTGCCATGCAGTGATTCAGAAACTCATGGTACATCTTGCAAGACTGAAGCCTTTTTCCCCAAAGTACCAGCTAAATTTTGCTCAGGAGCAGTTGCCCCCTGGGTACAGCCATAAACCAGACCTCGTATGGATCCCTTTGCTACCACATGCTGGAAGCAGAGCCTCCCTTTTTTTTTTTTTCTGATCCAGGATTGACTTATTTTAATAGCAACTGAAGATATTTATGTCTATAAATCCATTCAGGGAAGTTTGGGGAACCTTTTATTATGAAAGGTGCTGTGGAAAAATAAAAGTAGTCTCCTATAACATTCTGGGTAGGAGCTTTAGCAGTATCTGCTCTGTTTGAGTGGAGGGTCTGAAAGAAGGCACCTCCAGAAGGCACCCTTCTTTTTCTGCTTTATTTTAATACTAATTAATTCCAGAAAGGCTAAAGAAATGTGATGAAACACTACACTTCTAAGAAAAAGTTTTGCCTGAGTGTCATAAGCAGGCCTCCCAGCTTGGGAGGGTCTAGTGGGAGAAGAGGGTTAGTGGTCATTTTGATGCCTAAATTATCAGTAATTAAGCAGTTGATTTTCTGGGATTGAGCAAAATTTTAAACAGCTGCTTCTTTCAGCTCTTTACTCCTCATTTTCATTAGCATGTGCTAAGGCAATCTGGAAAATATATTTAGATCTATATTATGGTATGTCAAGACCTCA